AAGTCTTACGGGTTTGAAACGACATGAGGGTGAGTAATTAATGACAGAATTTTCATTTTTGGGTGAACTAACCCTTTAATACGATATGTAATACCTAAATTTTCACAACAACTATTTTATAATTTAATATAGTTTACATATCTGTCTATCAATCAATCTATCAATCTATCTATCTATCTATCTACTCTAACACTCTTTAGATTTAATAGCAGCACTGGAGCTGCATGAACACAAGTTTGCGTAAAACCTGACGATTATATATGATATTATATTATATTATATTACGTTCGTTATGTTATGTTATGTTATTAATCAGTTGTTCACATGGTCAGTGTCACTCATTTGCTTGTTTGATTGGTGATATTTTTCAGGTTTATGTCATAACTTTTCTGTTTCAATTGTTATCCTAAAACATTGAAATGTTCCCAAGTCCAGAGACGTAGCAAGGAGATCTGTAAAATAATCCATGTGACATCAGGGGTTCAACCGTGATTTTTACGAATCTACGAGAATAATTTTTGTGCACAAAAGAAAAAAAACATAATGACTTTATTCAACAATTCGTCTCCTCCGCGTCACCCTGTAGTCCATTTTGGAGAGTATCCGCTGGACGTAAACAACGTATGCTGTTCTGTGTCGGCTGCATCACACCTGATCTGTTTCCTACGTTGTTGTAATTTGACCTGAACGAAAACAGCGTATCCGTGTGACGCAGCTGACACAGAACAGCATACGCTGTTTACGTCCAGCTGATATTCTCCAAAATGGCACCAGGGTGATGCGGAGGAGACGAATTGTTGAATAAAGTCGTTATTTTTTTTCTTTTGGGCACAAAAAGTATTCTCATAGCTTCGTATAATTGCGGATGAACCACTGATGTTGCATGGATTATTTTATAGATCTCCTTGCTACGTTTCTGGACTTGGGAACATTTCAGTTGCTGTCTATGCAGGGTCAGACAGCTCTCAGATTCCATCAAAAATATCTTAATTTGTGTTCCGAAGATGAACGAAAGTCTTACGGGTTTGAAACGACATGAGGGTGAGTAATTAATGACAGAATTTTCATTTTTGGGTGAACTAACCCTTTAATACGATATGTAATACCTAAATTTTCACAACAACTATTTTATAATTTAATATAGTTTACATATCTGTCTATCAATCAATCTATCAATCTATCTATCTATCTATCTACTCTAACACTCTTTAGATTTAATAGCAGCACTGGAGCTGCATGAACACAAGTTTGCATAAAACCTGACGATTATATATTATATTATATTATATTACGTTCGTTATGTTATGTTATGTTATTAATCAGTTGTTCACATGGTCAGTGTCACTGATTTGCTTGTTTGATTGGTGATATTTTCAGGTTTATGTCATAACTTTTCTGTTTCAATTGTTATCCTAAAACATTTATTTCAAGGATTAAATTACCCCTATTTTCAGTCATTTGGACCAAAATTGATTTCATGTTTATCTTGGTGTTTGGTAATATTATGCTGTTGCAATCTGTCTGACATTGATATCAAGATGCTTTGGGCTAGTTCAAGTAAAACAAGACGTCAGAATTTGATGCTGTTCAGTATCAGCTTGCGTGACTTGCAGATCTCTTGTATAAGTGCACTTATGACCCGTCCTTTAGTTTACTCCTGCGCCCTGCTGCGAGACATCCTGCTGCAAGGCCGACTCTATATCTCTCGAAACTGGCTGTGTTTCTACACCAACCTCTTTGGTAAAGACATCAAGGTGAGCGTCACATCTATGCTGATGATTATTGCTGGGATAGACATGACTAGAAAGTTCATGCCCAGGAAAAAGGTGCCATTTGTGTTCGAAAATAGTGCAATTTTTAAACATTTAATTTGAAAACTGAACGTCATATCAAATGATATTTTCACACAGTACCCAAAGTACTAAGGCATGTGTATAAATAGCTGAGCACATTGTGAAAGTATCCATTTGAGTGTACTTAATAATAAATCAGGTTACTGTATAATTGGAATATAGAATTATACAATATATAATTACAATAATGATTGCAAAACATGGAAAGTTTAATATTGTTAATTCAAATATCATATAGATATTGTAATAGAAAAAAAAATTATTAAATAAAATTAATTAACCCATTATAATTTGAAGTTTTGTGTCTGTTACATTTAAAATATTGTGAAGATCAGTACAGAAATGTCTGAATGACTCAGAAAACAACACAAAACAGACTTGTTTCTGGTAGTACAATTTTAGCATCAAAACAAACTCGAAAGGAATTATCACATAGAACAAATGAACAAATTCGTAAGGAATGATCACAGAATGACTGGTGCTTTGTGTACTTTTTTGGCTGCACACCACGTTGCAGTTTGTTGTGCTGAGTTAAGCGTAACATTATATCGTTCCTTTGTGCACCACGTTATTTAGTAATTAGATTTCATTGGTTCAGTTTCCATCCTTGAGAGGGAAAATGTTGTGTGCAAGAATGGACTTTGAAACAAGGAACTTTTTGCTTTTTTTTCTGCCACTTTCTCTTGCCTCTCAGGTGGCCTTTCCTGTTGCGTCTGTGCGGTTGGTGAAGAAACATAAGACAGCAGGTCTGGTTCCTAATGGCTTGGCTATCACCACAGACAGCAGTCAGAAGGTGTGTTTCCACCGGGTTCCAGGTCATCGACCGGCAGATTGAAATACAAAGCTTAGTCAGCATTAGCATAACAGTGAAAATGCAAATAGATGCAACACTGAGACGAATCTATGTCTTCAGTCAGCATATCTCACAGCTGTCAGCATTTATACCTTTTTGTCAGCGAAGTAAGACTGGTTTAGAAGACCATTATTCAGTAGGCTGGCAAGTGGCCAGTGCAAAGAATTGATTTGTTATCAGATATTATCGTCTTTATAAATTATTATTTGCTGATTGCGCTTTCAAAGCTCAGGAAACTTAATGGAGATCACATTTTTTGTCTCTTTTGTTCTAAATGGTCTGAAATGAATGTGGATAACATAGCTCAGATAATTTGGTCTTGTAGAATTCTAATGAGAAACATTTGAGATCGAAATCTCTTGAAATTTTTGATTTGCAATGCAGACTCTAGTATCTTGGCAAATCTGTGCACAGTCTGTCTTATTTGATATCTCCAGTACTGAAACTCTAGACAAAGAAATTCCAATAAATGAAAATAGACAAATAAGATATGTACTATAGCAAGATTATACAACTCTAAATATGACTAGCATAGCTCAGATAATTTGGTCTTGAAAGTATTTGATGAGAAATGTTTGAATTCATTTTGAGGTCTTGTGATTGCAGACTTGATTTCTTTTCCATTTAATCTAATTCATCTCTAGTGGAAATTCACTGACATTTCATATGTCATTTTTCTTTCCGTTGGTTGTGTCAGTGGACTCAGCATCAAATTCTTTTCAGCTAAGGCTTCAGTTAGTTCATATAACTGAAGATCTTGTGGAATATAGCAGTTGAAAGCAGTCTTGTTGGACATTGCTTTGAGGATTAATGCCTGTGAATAGTCAGTAATTCTAGATTTCTTTAAGGCAGTCGTTTACTTCCTGTACAGTGAAAGCAGAACAAAATGGCCATTGTGAAAAATAAATATAGTTGCATTGAAGTGCACCTGGTAAAATCCTAGGTAGGCAGTTGTTATTGCAACCACTACTATGCATTCAAGTTCAGGATACAAAATAACTAAATCATAAAGTTTGAATGCTGGCAATTCTTTTATGCAGGTATATAAACAAGTGAATACACTCGCATCTCTTATGCACAACCTATATACTGTACATTACTTATGGCATCTCCCAAATAATGAAATCATTTGCATGAAACTGCTAACTTTCTAATGGAAGCAAAATTACCACTGCCCTATATGCAAACATGCTTTTCAAAGTTTTTCATGTGAACATGCATGCAAAAGGTGAGTATCTTAGAGAATTTGTTTAGTACACATCATTTCATTATTTTTCGACTCCTCTTGAAGATTGCCTTTATTTTGTACAAAGAGAAATGGGCTTTCATGCACTCTTAGTGTTCCCTAAAAATATGGCTATTGTTAAATTAAACCAAAGTGGTTTGTCTTCATACTCTGGTTATGCACACTATCTCTCGTCTCTGCTAGAACATCCAGCTAAAACATTTTAAGGTGGTAATTGTGTCTTTAGATTAGAAAAAAGTTCTTTAGATTATTTAAATGTTCTTCACACTAAGAAAAAAATTGTTTTTTAAAGAAATGTTCACTGAAGCTTCTTTAGAGAATCCAATATGGTTCTTCTATATTGGCATCACTGTGCAAATCCCCTTTTGGAAACTTTATTTTTAAGAGTGTGGTCCATGCTGGTTTAGGTGGTTGACCAGACAGTTAAAGGTAAGGAGTTGGAGTGCTGAAATAACAAGGTAAAAACCAGCTTAAGGTCATAAAGAAGCTGTGTTTTGAAGCATGTTAGCTGTTTTTTAAAGGTCCAAGATCTTCCAGCATAGTTCCACCATTAAGCACCTAAACCGGCTTTGAGCATCTTAAGACCAGCTTGGACTAGTTTGAAACCAACATGTTTAAAAATAGCTGGTTTTTCTAGTAGGAATATAAGTGAACATGCCACATCCACCATGTATTGTAGTCTCTGTTTAATCTTCTTCACTCTAATGATAATATGTTTGTGTCCTTTCCACCCACAGTACGTGTTTGTGTCTCTACTGTCCAGAGATAGCGTCTATGATGTGTTGAGATGCATCTGCACACATCTACAGGTGAGAGTTTAGTCAGTACCTCTGGGCTATTACGTCGAGAACATGTAATCAGTGTTAGCCTAATGACAAGTGGGCTTTTATCATGCTGCTGTCTGTCATTCAGGTCAATGGAAAGAAGATCCTAAGCCTCAAGCAGTACATGGAGGAGCCCATCTCTTTATCTCTGGTAGGTTTGAGAGTCCAGACTGTGAAATTAATGGGTTTTTTTTTTCACAAATCTCTGCCATTTGGTCAATTTTCATTCACAATATTGCCACCCAATGAAAACAAGCTGCAAGTGAATGTTTATATAAAAGGGTTGTATGAAAAAATTGCATGCTTAGTGAATCCTAGTGTGACCGTTTTTCCATGTGCCGGTGTAGGATGAGTTCCCTGTCCCTGAAGTTTTCCCTGTACCAGATGAGTTTCCTCCGGTGCTGAAGTGGAGGAGGAAGCCGTCAGTTGTGTCTGTAGCTTCATCTCTTCCTGACTTACTGGGAAACTCCACCGCCGGCCTGAGTGCCGTAGACGCCCCCTTCCAGACAGACAAGCCTCTGGAGGGTGAGTGACTGACTAAAAAAGGTATTTAGATATTTTTGGGAAATGATGCCATAGTAATACTGAGTTATGGTTTCCTAAAGTTTTTTTTTTTTTTTTACCTAGTACCTAGAAGAAACATGTAAATAGCATGTATATATATGAATATGACAATCAAAATCTATCCTATGATACTCCCACACACACACACTGCCTTTTTTGATAGGGGTAATGATGGGTTAGAAGTAATGAAATGTTCAGTATTGCATATTTTAGATGTATTTTGGAAGTTTCGCATGTTCTGTAATCTGATTTCTTGGAAAGAACCCATTTTTGAGTTTACACTGGGTTCACAGTCATGGAAAATATAAGGAATTTTAAAACTGTGGAGGACATGAGTATAATCTGTATGTAATTAAAAAGTGAGCAGTGAAATAAATCTTTCTAGTTTTGGTCTGTTCTCAATATTTCATCAGCTAGATATTACTTGCTGTGAATGTTTGTTATAAGTAAAACTGGTTTGCAAGCTGCATGATGACAATCTGTATACTGCTTTAAATCTATTCATTCAAAAGATTGGTGCTTAATCTCAGAAATCTCTATAAAGGGATTTTAAATCAAATCTCTTGTAATTATAAACAACTGGCAAGGTCATGGGAAAGTCATAGACATTTTTGGTCAAAGTAATAATAATAAAATAAATAAAAATATATATTACAACCATAACATCCTATGCTAAATCCAATAATATCAATCTTAATGTCTATTTTGACTTATTATGAGATTAGATATCAAAATTCTACCTCACTAGATTCATGAATGCAAAAATGAATAATTGGCTAGCACTTACTGAAATAAACATGTAGTGTAATGAGATCATGTTACAAGAATATAACAGACTGCCCACAGATGAGAGAAAAAATTCCCCCAGCTTTGCACATTATCAGGTCATTTTTGTGCCGTGCTTGCTGATGGTAAAGCCAGGTGAAATTCTGCAGTGGGAAATGCATTAGCCATGAGCAGATTAATTTCTCAGACCAGACTGGCAGTTAATGTCCCCATTTGATCAAATGTTTCTCAGATGGAATGAAAAAATGTCCATTAAATGATTTTGTTCTGTTCTGATCACTTCAGTTTGATGTCATGTGTCTGCTCATGTTGTGAGTGCTTGGTTCTCTCAGTGTGTGTGGACATGAAGCAGGGACGGTCCTGTTTGCTCGGGTCCATTATGCAATACAGGATTAAGCCCAAAAGGAGATTTTAGAAAGTAGAGATAAAACATTAAAATACCAGCCTCTGCTATGACTAATAGATGCTATACTTTTAAATGCTTGTTTGTGTACTGTTAAAAGCCATTTTTTGGGCTAAGGGTTATGGGTAGATCACATATAATATACTGTAGATATTTTATTTCAACAAATATTCCATGAAGTTAACTGTATGCATTTATAAAAGAATTAGAAAAATGTTTAAAAATTGATTAAGGGGACTTAAATCAATGTGTCATGCATTTCCTCATCCGGTGATACGGCTCGGTCCATTTCAGATCAAAGTCTGGAGACCAAGAAGATCCTCCTGACAGAGACGATACCAGAACTGGGCCAGATGGAGTACCAGCTACTGAAATTCTTCATCCTGCTGTGAGTTTGGCTGGACAATCCTTACTATGTGGTCATGCTTGCTTTCTCACTCGTGCTTATATGCTGTCACAGAGACTGGTGTCTTGTTTAAAGACACCTAATTCAGTGGTTTGTCATTTTCGTACACAAAAAAATCACTTTATCACCTTTCATTTGAAGTGTGGGTACTGTGTCAAAAGTCTTCAATTGAAAATCATAGAAGAAAAGTATGCACATTTAAACGTACTTCAGCAAAAAAAAGTCAACTTTTTTTCCAAGCTCTATAAATAGACCAAATCAAGAGGCAGGGGAGATTTTCTCATAACTTGCATTTGCTTGCCAGTCCACCTGTTCCAGTAATCCGTCCCCATCGTCATGTGGCCGTATGTGTAGTATATGTGGTGATAAACTCACTGGACAAGTAAACTGCTATGCATGTAAACTGGCTATCCAGTGGATCACACAGTGCCTTGTGCACACACCAGTGGAGTCTGCTGTTTGATTTCAGAAAAATACTCTACTCTGTATGAAAGAGATGTTATCAGAAAAAATGTTTTAAAGCAACAATCTCAACAGAATAAGATGACAAATTGGGACCTGCAGATTATAATGATTATAACAACAAATTCAAACAAACACCCCACCAAATACATTAGGAGTTAAAAACATGATCAGTTTTCAGAACCTTAATTATTAAAACAATATAATACAGTTAAACTATTTACAGTTATGCATATCATATGTGGCCCTGGACCACAAAACCAGTCATGAGTAGCATGGGTATATTGTAGCAATAGCCAACAGTGTATAGGTCAAAATGATCATTTTTCTTTTATGCCAGAAAGATCATGTTCCATGAAGATATTTTGTACATTTCCTACCGTAAATATATCAAAACTTAATTTTTTTGATTAGTATAATATGCATTGCTAAAAACTTCATTTGGACAACTTTAAAGGCGATTTTCTCAATATTTAGAATTTTTTTTTGCACCCTTCCAGATTTTCAAATAGTTGTATCTCAGCCAAATATTGTCCTATTGTCCTAACAAACCATACATAAACGTAAAGCTTATTTATTTAGCTTTCAGATTATGTATAAATCACAATTTAAAAAAACGGACCCCTATGACTGGTCCAGGGTCATATATAATTAATATAATATAATATAATGTAATGTAATGTAATATAATAGTTAAACTATTTACAATTGTCAACCTATATTATATAAACAACATAATGTGTACAAAATGTGTATAATAATAATAATTAAAGTAGAGCTTTTTTCAGAATTAATATTTATGAATATAAAATTGTCTGAATTTTGTGTGATATAATTTTTTTTCAAGCTGTAGAATTCATGGTCAATAAAATAGTGCATTTTCATGTACTTTCCAGAGGTTATCATTGTGATGTTGTTGATTCCTAAAACCTATTGTACATATGTTTAAGCATGTAAATCCTGACATACAAAACAAGAGTAAGAAAATCATTTCTTTTCAACTGAGCGGTTTATTGAACCACTGAAAAAGATGTTTGCATTATGTGTCATATTTGATACATCAGGCTTTTATGGCTCATACAGTATGATATAGTGAGAATATGGAGCTCATACTAAAGCAAAATAAAAAACAATTATTCAGTTTTATTCAGATGCCCAAACTGTGCAAAAATAAGCAGTTTGGTTCAGTTTCTGATTTAAATGGCCAAAAACTAAGATGGAATTCGGATAGCTTGTGATGTAAATCAATGTGATCTTTATAGCAGAATTCTACTAATAACATGGTCACTCCATATCTCCCAAAAATGTGTCGTATTAAGATTATATTCAAATGTTTTGTTTTATGATCAAAGTTCTATAGATTTTTTTGTGAGTGGCAAACGCTCTCTGACTCAGACGGCACTGTCTCAGTTGTCTTGTTCACTTTGTTCACCTGAGATGCAAGATTCAAAACAGGACAGTTTTAGAATAAAGAATAATGTAGGGGATAAATAATGCAGTATGTAATGATTATGAAATACACTTTGCAATTGCAAAATTGTTCATGTACATTTTACTGATTAACACATGCTACTTAAACATACAGGCATGAAATATTAAGAGACAGTACACACGCTGAATAAGAATAAGAGGTTTCAGGGATGGGTGATCAGAATGAAAAAAAAATTATGAAATCTGTTAATGATCAGACAAATTTCCAGGTGCATAGTGAAATGTACATGTTTAGAAATTTGTTTGGTTTACTATGTAACAGTGTAGGCAATATATATAGCCTATATAAAAGCTATTTAAACTGTATATATACATTTATATTGATCTGTTTAGCGAAAGATTTAGCATGATTGTCATGTTTTAATAAAATTATATTTAATAACCGAATAACTCCACATTCCCAAGTATAACAGCATGTGTTTAAAAACAAAGCAATTCTAACAATACGTTTTCCTGTATTTTTGTAAAATAGACTAATTGTTTGTGTAGTGTACACATTACTTCCCGCTTTAGTCAAATATTCCCAGGAACTGAAGATCCTTCAATGCTCATTTTGAGTCAACTTGACTGAAATAAAACTTCAGTTACTGGAAATCCTTAAACACAACCCCGTTTTGCACACGTCTCTGTCTCAACACAGAACTAGTGTGTCAAAGGATCAGTTCAGAGAAATAGAAACTTAAAGGTGCAATAGGTGATTGTCTTCAGAACATTTTTTGTTATGCTGGTTGAAAGTCTCTTCACATCCTGATAGCAATCATTAAGTTAAGTGATCTAACTGTATTCATCTGTATTTATATATTCTGTGGAAGGCGTTGGACCAAGAAATGTTCGTCCAATCAAAACGTTCGATCCGAGCATTTTAATTGGCTTTCCTACCTGCCTGTCAACTTATGTATTAGCATACCTCTGCACACCTGGTTCGCGCAGACAGGATACGTCATCAGCGCATTCACGCACGCTGTGCAGACAGCGAGAATGGCAGGCAAACATCAACAACCCAATCTTCCTTCCTGGTATTGTAGTACTTTTAAAGTTTTCTCACTGGTGAATGACACGTGATGTAGCGGTCATAAGTCGCTTTCAGTGCTATCAGGCTAAAGTTAGCATTTTCCAAGATCTCCTACTGCACCTTATTGAGCCGTTGTTTGTCTGTCGTAATCTGTGTGTAGGCTTCATGAAGTGATATGATGGAGGTCGCTATTTCTCAGGACCAGTTCAGCTGTCCAATCTGTCTGGATCTACTAAATAATCCAGTGACCCCTTCCTGTGGGCACAGTTTCTGTACGAGCTGCATTACAGGCTGCTGGGATCAAGATGAACAGAAAGGAGTTTACAGCTGCCCCCAGTGCAGACAGACCTTCACTCCAAGATCTGCGTTAGACAAGAATATGGTGCTTGCTGAAATGTTGGAGAAACTGATAAAGCCCAAACTCCAAACTGTGGTTCCTGCTCAGCATTATGCTGGACCTGGAGATGTAGAGTGTGAAGTCTGTACTGGAAGAAAATGCAAAGCTCTCAAGTCCTGTCTTGTGTGTTTGGAATCTTACTGTCAGACTCATTTTGAACATCATGAGGAATTTCGTTCAGGTTCGGGAAAGCGACACAAAATCACTGCCAGATGCCATAGGACGACTCCAGGAGATGATTTGTCATGAGCATGATAAGCTTTTGGAGGTTTATTGTCGTACGGATCAGCAGTGCATTTGTGTGCTCTGTATATGATGAATGAACATAAAACCCATGATGCTGTCCCAGTTGCAGAACAGAAGACAGAGCAAGAGGTATGAACTGACTTTATACACTGACGAGGTCTGAAAATCATCTGACTCAGCACTGTTGGTGATGCTCATGGATTTGAGAAGCAGACCACCAAAATGACATCAGTAAAACCGAGACCTGTGCAATTACTGCATCAGACTTCATATTTTACCATATTAATCTTTGATAGCCTACACTTACATGGCATGAGACTAATAATATGTAAAAAAACAACAACAACTAAGAAATACAATAGATATCCATTGTTGGTACTATGCACCATGGCACTACAACACTGGTTTTAATTTCACTGGTTGTTTCTTTGTCCTACACAAACACTTAAAGGAGAGACTGAAGCAGCAAATCCAGGAGATAGAGAAAGAGATTCAGGAGCTGAGATAGAATGTGAAGTATCATAAGGTGAGTTATGAGAAGAAGAAGAACTGATGGCTATTACTCCACCCAAAAATGAAAAGTCTGTCATCATACACACACTCTCATGCTGTCCCAGATGTAAATGACTTTCTTTCTTCTGTGGAGAAGAGATGAACTCAAACAGAGATTTTTAGAGAAATAATTAATCTCTGTGAGTCCATATAATTCAAGTGGGTCTCTTGAAAACCATGCAAAACAAACTCAACAGTAATCCATATACAAACAAAGTTGATAATCAATGTGTTCAGAAGC